GCAGGCGGGCAGATGTCCCACTATTAGTCTCCAGCGGAGGCCGGCCCACTGAAACCAAATTGCCCAGCTGCGCCACGAGGCCTGATAGGACAGGGATGCTTCCTACATTATGCCTTGGGTTGCATCACGTGATGGGTGCCTTCTCACGAGCGAGCTCTCCGTGTCCGAAATGGCTTCAGACCTCCTACTTAGGCACTGTCCGATGGTGTTTTCCTTCCAGACACCAGACCAAAGACAAAGTCGTCGAATTCAGCGCTCGAGGCATCTTATCACGACTACGATGTGAGCTGTCCTAGAGAGATGACTACCAACGCTGCAAACGAGCCAGACACACACTGCGCCTATATTTAGATTCGTCAACGTTCAAAGCGACGTCAGCTCCAGAAGGCTGTGGCAATCTGGCGAACTCCACTTCTATCCCAGTCGTCTGGCTTGGTTCTTGGCCGGCCGTACACAATGCATTTGTTGCCGCGTCAGTAAGAGTCGAGCTTCCAAGCAAGACTGGATACAAATACGAAAGTCGGGCGCAGAGCCGCCACTCAATTCCATTATCAGCATACCATATTCGTTATCCACTTCCTTCATAGCAAAGGCTATGTCTTCATCAGAGGCGGTTTATAATGACCAAATTGACACGCTACAAATGAGCTAGCCTGTAAATGCCTGGGTCAATCTGAGGAATGGAACTTACACGTGAGCAAAGGTGCTAGAAGCAATATGATGCACCCAAACATGGCAGCCTAGGTAGGGTATCAGCCCACGGACGGGAACAAGTACTTTTCAGTCATGTCTTTTTCTGAAAGCCACAAGAGCTGGGCTACCCAAGCGCTGCCCCTGGTTTCGTCAGGAGCTAGGATCAGAGACATCATGGAGAGAGAACCCGCCGGTTATGGCATCTCGCGCAAGCCAAGCGTGATTCACCAGGAACCGAATTGCTTTTTCTTTCCTTGCGGAATCACCAGCGAATGGTACGTACAAGCTACGCCAAGGGATAACCAGTTGTCACCAACCACAACCCAGCTTTGATGCATTCGCTTCGTCTTCGATCATAACGGACGGTTTGTCCTTCAACTCTCCGTGATACAACGATCGTAACTACTATGCAGCAATGGATCCCATCCTCGAGGACTGGTATCTTGGATCGAAGTAACCACAGCTGACGAACACTGAGCACTCACAAATGTACAGCAAAGACCGTAATCATTCCCACTCTGCTCTGATCAAACTTCACAAAAGACAAAATCAGCGGGCCAAATCCTCTACTCGTGGCGTGAGAGCAGCGCCGTCTGCGTCGCAGTCTGGGTCTTGTGAAATCGCCAGTGCTTGATTTTGCGTTCAAAAAGTTCGTCCAGTTCAGCAGCCGACCGTCCTTTGGTCTCGGGGATCAGGAACCACATGATCACAACAAACGGCGCGCCCAGGCCAGCATAGAACCAGCCCGTCTTAAGCTCCCAGCCCCACTCGTTGTCATTGACCATGTAGGGCGTCAGCACATTCATCACGACGCCCGCGACACATGTTGACGCCGCGCCGAAGCCTGCGGTGTAGGGGCGAAGACGTTGAGAGGAGATCTCGCCGATAAAGCCCCAGCCTGTCGCACCGTTGGCTGTCATGCCAATATCTGTTTGTAAGGTCAGCAACTACTGGGGCTGCGAAGGATACAGGACAGGTGCTTACTCCAAAGACAGGCGAAGAGGACAAGCAGGTATTCGGTCGCCTTCACCCGCGGAACCACGCCCAGAATGCCTATGGCTGTGCATGCCGCCCAGCACAGCGTTGAACCGCCGCATGAGATATTCCTCCGACCGAATTTGTCAGCCATCAAGATGAAGATCAAGTTGGCGGCAATGTTGATACCGGACGTGATGCAGGTCGCCTGGAACGGATCCTCCACACCGGCCTGCTGGAAGAAATACGATGCGAAGGTCGAGAAGAGGGTCAAGCCGATGAATTGCTGCGTCATGAGCGTCCACAGCGCCGTGAGGGTGCGTCTCCCATCGGTGCCCCTGAAAATGGACCACCACTTCTCGTTCCGAGAAGCCCGCGCCACCTCCATCTCGTGGTCCACAGCCATGACGAGCAACTGATACTGGTACTCAAGGTCGTAGTCCTTGATTTCCCAGTGCAGCCGGCGCAATGAGGCTTTCGCTCGCGACTCGTAGCCTCGGGTGACGCACCACGCTGGCGTCTCGGGCACGCACAGGAAGATGATGAGCATGAGCCCAATCTGCGCCCACTGCGTGTACACGGGCGTCAGCCAGTCGTCGGCATCGACCTTGGAGTGCACCTGCAGCGCCACGGGGGCGAAGAAGTTGCCAAGGCCGAACCAAAAGCTGTATGACATGAGGAGACCGCCGCGGATGCGCACGGGGGCTGTCTCGGCAATGTAAGTCGGGATGGTGCTCTGCAGACAGCCGACACCAAATGCCGGGAAAGGAGCTTGGCCACGAGCCAGACGGGCCACGAGCGGGCAAGCGATTCAGCGAGCACGCTCATGGCGAGCACGAACCAGAATGCGTACATGGCGGCCTTGCGGCCGAAACGTTCAGAAAGGAATGGCAGGGAGGTCATGCCAATAATCTGGCCGACTGACATGATGGATCCCCACGCACTCAAGATGGGCGACGCGAGGAACGGCTCGCCCGCATCGTTGGTCTCTGTCGCGAATTGCCTGACAAAACCCGGGTTGGCGACGATATTTCCATTCATGCTGGGCTCGGGTCAGCTTCTCAAATTCGCCAGCACGGAGGACAGCCAGCTCTACGCACCCGATCTGGTAGCCGTCCGTGGCCGCACTGAAGGCGACGAGGAAGCACGTCGCAGTGCAAACCTTGAACGCCTTGACGGTCTCCCACAGGCCGAGCGTTTCGAAGCCAGAGATGCCCTGGCCCTTGGCCGCGGCCTCCATGGAAGCCTCCTTGGCATCGAGCTTGCCCTGTTCTGCGACCTCACGGCGTTCAACGACGATGTTGTCGGAGAGTTGCCCCTCGAGGCCCGTAGCTGTTGTTTTTCCCGTAGCCATACTGAGATATTGGCAAGGCAGTGGTTGAAGAGCGTAGAACCTGCCGGAACTTGGATTTTGAGTATATCAGGCGGACGTGATAACGAACAGCAAGGCGGAGCCTATATGCTGATGATCATGAATGCAGTAAGTCTAGTTCACAGGCCCTCGGATTCGTGTGGCATTCTACCGATTCCCGAAGCTGGGGAGGGGACACTGCGTTCTCGGCACATGGCTACACAGCACGTTGTTGCTGGTTGAAAGCTCTACCATGTGGTTCTCCCCCGCTTCATCGACTGCCACAACGTCTGGGGTAAGTCGTCACGGTTTGCGGGGTGTCGTTTGGCGCTTCCACGATCGGTTCGTCAATTCGCCGATCTGTCCCCAGACCAGGGGCAATTTCGCCGATCAAATGGGGTCAGGTAGATGTGCGACTCAGAGCAAACTTGGGGTTCCGTTGGCCCTTCGGGCTCAGGAGCAGATGGGGCTGAAGATGTGGAATTCGGCAGATCGGTTTCGGTTTAAGAACAAGCAAGGGGCAAGCGTACTACGGAGTAAGACAGTTACTTGTGGCGTTCTAAAACTCCGGCTACTGAGGTGCGGACTCCAAGGCAGTTGGTGAATGGGACGCACGCACACACACATGCACAAAGCTAATTCTCCGCGGACTATTGATTTATCGGCTTCTCAGCCATATGCCGGGAACAGGAGATGATTGCCGTGAGTGGCAAGTTCTACCCTTGGCGCATATGATCCCTGCAAAGCATGGTGATGCAACTATCATACGGATCCTAGCCGTGGTGGTCATATAGCTTGCAAATCATCAGACGTATGAAGTTTGGCTTTCGGTGGACGTTGGCCCGGGCTGAATGGGCTGAGTGGTAACACAAGCGAGATTTACGGAGTTGATTTCCGAGTACGCGCAAAAGCAAGCGTGGTCACTCACATACGTGCAGCAGGAAGCCAGGGACTAGGGGTCGCGAACTCTCAAATGGAGAGTTCAGCACACGAGGCCTATGTCCAGAATATGGCCTGGCACGGTTCGATTAAACAAGCGAAGCACAAACGCCATGCTCATAAGAGAAGGGCTACTCCCTTCAGGGGGGTGTTCATATGCCAAAGATCGTAACAGGTCCTCTCTATGAGCTCTAAAGATAACTACGATGCTGCTGTATGTGTAGACAGAGTGGGTACATGATCCCGCACTCCTTTACTCGCCAGCGATGGGGCTCTCCTCTGGTGGCATCATGAAGGGATGGACCAGTGGCTTGGGTGGCCACGCGCCGAGGTTGCAAATACACTCAAACACATGCACGCCCGAGTTGACCACCCTACTTGCTTCCTCAGCCACGCGGTAATCACCCCGCAACTCAGAAGGAAGCGTTACAATAGCCGAGCAGCTGGGAGGCACGGTCAGCTCCATGCGGAACGCCTCACCCCGCTCCAGCGTCCAGGCAATGCTGACGAGTCCATAGGGGCCATCGAATGATGCCGACGCCCTCGTCAAGTTGCCGCCCGGTACAGGCCTCACGCGGACCGTCTTCCAGCCTGGCGTGAGGGGCGAGATGCCAGCCACAGACCCGTGCAGCCAGTCAGCGACGGCGCCGAGAGCATAGTGGTTGAAGCTCGTCATCTCGCCCGGGTTGATGCGGCCATCCGGCAGCATGCTGTCCCAGCGTTCCCAGATGGTGGTGGCGCCTTGGGTGACGGGATACATCCATGACGGGCAGCCTGTTTCGAGGAGCATGCGGTAGGCGAGCTGCGGCCGGCCAATCGAGGTGAGAGCGTGGGCGATGACGGGAGTACCTGCGAACCCCGTGCTGATATGGAACCGAGCCTTGCGTACAAGCTGGTCAAGCGTCAGGGCAGCCTGGGCGCGAGGGCCATCCTCGGCGGGATAGAGGCCGAACTGGACGGCCAGGGCGACGCCCGTCTGCGAAAGCGAGACCAAGTTGCCGTCTGGTGTGATGTAGCGTCGCTGGAACTGATGCCGCAGCTTGGCCGCCGCCTCGGTGTACTCGGAAGCGAGAGCGTCCTTGCCGAGTGCTGAGCAAAGGGAAGCAAATGTGTCGGTGACGTGGACGAGGAAGGCGTTCGCGACGAGGACACTGTCCGTTGACGCCTTGGCGGGGTCATCCGGGGGCGCGTTGGGATCTAACCAGTCGGCGAGCTGGAACTTGTCCGGGTTCCAGAGGCCGTCGGGAGCTCGCTCTACGCCCCGGTCGAGCCAGGCCTTCATGCTGTCAAACTGGCGCTCGAGGAGACTGTTGTCAGCGCTATGCTGGTAAAGAGCTTGAGGAGCGAGAACCGCAACGTCTCCCCAGATGGCTTGAGAGTTGGCCTCCCGTGGCCAGTTGGAGGGCATGGCTTCTGGCACGACAAGGGGCACAATTCCGTTTGCTTCTGGCGTGAGTTGTTCGGCAGGAGAACGTCCTTCGAGGCCAGCTCCCCAACATCCAAGTGTTTCGTAGAGAAAATTCGCGTCGGCGCGAATGTTGCAGATCCCGTCCCAGCCGACCTCTCGTCCCGCTGAGGACAGTCGGTGGTATGGACACAAAAGTTCCGCGCATGGCCAGACCCCGTTGCTGTGTAATTGGTTGACTGCGGAATTGGAGCCCTCGAAGAAGCCTTGTCTCTTCATATCCGTAAGAATAAACCAGGGCGTGGATGTCTTGGGCAGATGGATCGCCATCGGGCCAGCCTCGGCCCGGGCATTCCGGAACCCATGGAAAGGTGTAGCTGGGCGGCCAGTTTTGAAGCGTCTTCCCTGTAGCCCCCCGGACGATATCCGTGGCCTTTGCGATTCGAAGCGGCCGGGCCCCAAGCTCACCGTCCTCCATCACCTCGGCGTGACGGAGTGTTAGTTCCTGGCGTGTCCGATAGCCAACTTGGGAATGCGCAGCTTGCCCACGAGGTTCTGGCCGAAATCGAGAATGGTCTTGCCCCTTTTTGACTTGAAGACCGACTGGCAGGCGATTTGCTCTGTGAACCTGACGGGACCAGCATCCGGGGCTACGAGCCTGGAAGAGGGCTTGGCGATCGTCTTGGTGCCAGACTCGCCAGGCCAAGTCGCACCCGCCTCGTTCCAGCCGTCCGTCTCGTTTTGGAGGTCGTACACCTCACCGTCGTAGATTTCGCTAGTGGTGATGGCGCTGGCAGCTGCCGTCCAGGAGTTGTCCGTCACGAGCGTCCAGGACTCGGAGGTGCCAGCCAGCCCACTGCGTACCTCGAGCTGCGCGGCGAGGGCCAGCTCTTCGCCATAGCGGAAACGCTCGCCACCTCCGAAGCCAAGGCGTCCGGCATACCAGCCCTCGGCCACTTCGGCAACGAGTATGTTGGCCTGGTCGCGGTGCAGTAGGGACGAGACGTCGAGAATGCGGTACGCTAGACGATGATGGTAGCTGGTCCAGCCGGGGGCGAGACACTCATCGCTGGCTGGCTTTCCATTGACCCAGACGTTGAAGACGCCGAGAGCGGTGATGTAAAGGCGCGCCTCAATTGACTCGCCCGAGGTGATGGTCTCGGGGAGCGCGAATGTCTTCCTCAGTCGGATCGGTTGCAGGGGCCCATGGGGTCCGATTTGCTCGGCAGATGTGACGAAGTTCGCCTTGAAGTCATCAACTTCAAGGAGTGCAGCCTCCACAGTCGAAGCAGCAGACCAGGCACCTGGCTCGTTGTCGGGAGGGACATCGCCATGGCTGCTCTTGCCCGTGACACGTACCCTGACAGTTGCCTGCTCACGAGATGCTAGGGGCCTGGCCGGCCAGGGCACTAGGATGGACTGGTCGCTTCGGATGGAGAAGACACTGGGGGTTTCAGGCGCAGAGGCAAAGGTCACCTCGATATCGTAGCCGGCTTGAATCCAGCCAGACGTTGTGGAAGAGGAAGTCTCAAAGCGCCACGAGATGCGAGGTGTAGCGCTCTCCACACCAAGGCCGTTGTGGTGATGTTCGAACTGGGGCGCTGTCAATGTTGGAGGCGCCATGACAGCTTTGTGATGGTTGTTCTGGTTGGTTTAGAAAATGTCTTCACGTGTAGGACACGATTGCCCGAGCAGCGATAGATCTCTGTGTGTTCTTATGATGCAGTTGATGAAGGCCCAGATGGCCTTTCGGTGTTATACCGACCGAGACCTTGGGGACGTCGAACCCCGCCATGACGACGCGAGCACCCGGTGTGAGATGCCGATCGGACTTTTAAAAAGAGTTGATGGTCGCATTTCCCCGCGCCCGTGGGGCAAGGCCTTGACGTGGTCCTTATGGATGGTACCAGCCGCGAAAATGGCGCCAGCATGGATTTACATTCCAAGGGCATCGCTGGGTGTCAAGAACGTCTGGGCAGACAATCAGAAGGAAAACTGGGAGCAATTATCAATGTTTAGAGCTCATGTTTTCGATCCCTGCCCAGATAGTAATTATTGAGATGTCCCTCGGAAGCGGCTGTAGTTTTATTTCTTTGGTAACAAAAAGACATCCAAGTGATGCAGGTCCGGCCCTTGTCACGGTGTGCCTGGTACATGTATGAGCATGGGATATCTGGTACAAAAGTTGGCCGCATATTTAAGAGGTTGCAAGGATTCACGTAACATGCGGTGCGTACATATCGTCGTTTTTTTCCTGATCTCAACCAGGCTTTGCTTGCTGTGATATCGAGGTAGTGGTATTTCAACACTTGGTGAAAGTGCTCTCTCTGCCTCTCGCTGCCTATGCTGTAGTATTTTATGAACTCGGTCCCATCACAGCCTTCAATGCTCTCTTTGGTCAAGACGTCAGGCGTGTTTGTGTTAAGTAAAGCCAGAATTTCAACGTGGCTTACAGCCTGGTAGTTCTCCAATGGGAATATTCATCCATGAACAAACCATTAGGAGTTAATAAAGCTGTTATTACTTTCTTATGGACTACAAGATATTGTGAAGCGAGTGAACCAACGATGGGTGTGACTCCCGGTAAGTAGCTTCTTGAGAGGATAGTATTCGCACAATAGGAACCACGACTCTTTACATTTGCGTCAGTGGTTATCCACGGTCGGAGGTGGAGGTCATGCCAACCGGCTCCTGCCTGCTGGACGGGATCATACTGAGGAATCACTTCGAACTTCACAAAGAGGTCAGACTACGGCCCGGTATAACCTCCTGGATGACCGCAAGCCGACGAAATGGTCCGCTGAGAATTTCGCGTTCGAAGCTTGACAGTTCAAATCGGCAGAGTTGACAATGGTTCGCTTTCCAGGTGTCTACGTTGTGATACCACTGAAAGTCTCCAAAGAAGACTTTGGCACTCACTATGCTGACGACAGACCCGAAGCTGCCCAGCGACAGATAACCTCGGGTTGCTTTGAAGGAGACCCAGAAAAGAGGCTATTTATTCCATCTCCAACAATAGATACCTTGACCCTTGCTCTCGCTAGAACTTGCCTCAGACACCGATGGGATGGACGTGCCACGGTTTTCTCATTCTTGGTAACGATCAAATTGGATCAAATGATCTGCGTCGGGTTGGGAAGGATCAGCTGCTGTATCGGTTCACTACCTCTATCGACTCTCAAATAAGGACCTTCTACTTCCAAGTCAACAGTCCTTAGCTACTCGGTCTACTCACTGTCTTTGTTTGGATACAGTGCCATGGATGGGTGTCTAAGTTGCCAGGTTGTTCCCCACGCTGGCCGTCTGAAAGTAAAATGACTTCCAAGCCCTGAAAAATCTCCGCCAGAGCAACAACCTCTGTGATCAGCTTGCAACCCGACATCATTTCGGCAGCGTAACAATGGCGTGATAAGCTGAGCTCATCTCATGCAGTTTGGCCGTGGCTGCAATATCAGCCTCGGCCGCATGGCAAAATCGAGACAACGTCTCATGATGGCTCCCGGCTTCCACCTTTTGACTTTGCATGCATGGTAAGTCGTGGTGCATCGGGCAGAGTCATGAACTTTGCCTCAGCCACCCGCCTGATCATCCATCCCTCGAGTCAGCAGATCAGCACCTCTGCCAAGATCAGGCCGATCGGCACCGCCAGATATCAAGCCTCTCCCGTCGAACAGACCCGCGTCCGACTCAGTCGACCGCCCGCCAAAGGGCTTTCGCCCGTGAGCTGCTAATTCAAGCAACACAGAGTCACACGCCAAGCGTCGTTTCCAGCAGTATGAAGCAGTAAACAAAACTGGCCCCATCAGTGCGTAAACAGTGCCTCCCCCCCGCGTCCACCGCTAGAAGAACCGATGGGGAGGGATCGCCCGCGTATCTTTGCAGTCCTTCTAGTCGAGTTTCTGGGGTCGCAATGGCATGAACGGTACCACTTGTCGGGTCCGAGCCCCCCCCTCTTCTCCCCTGCTCGCTCAATACTTTTAGACCTCCCCCTCCGAGACAATACCCGCGCAAAGATCCAATGAACCAGGCCAGTCGGGAGCACCGCGGCCCTCTTGGCATGAGGTGCGCATGGCCAGGTTGCCCCTGGCAAAGGCAGCCTGCGTTGCTTTCCAGTGTTCATGCCGTGAAAGGGACAGGCCAATGGGACCAGCGGGCATGATGGGAAGCACTCGTTTCAGGAGTCGATCTTGGCCCGAAGACAGTGTGGCGGGGCCGGGAGGGGCGGTACTTCAGTATGAGCAGGAAGGGCCTGGAGCGGCAATAAATTCGATCTGGAGGACCGGCAGCAGATCATTGTGCGAACAGACGTGCGGAAGAACGGAAGAGGGGCGTCAGGGTGGCAAGGTACCAAACAGAGGAGAGTAAGGGCTCGACTGCAAGGTCTGGACGTGCCTGGATACTTCATCGCCCGCGCTATCTGTCTGAGCCAGCTGATAATCGGCTCTTGGGCATTTTGCGCATCAGAAGGACTGGATCGTGGGCTAAAAGAGGAAAGTCAGGCGGGTAAAGACAGGGCCAGCCCGTCATAGTGACGGAAGCGTCAACAAATATCCATTCATGCGGACAACGGGCAAAACACCAGGAAACTGGATCCAGCTGTCATCGACTATGCTCCCGCGCGACACAGAATTTCAAGGAGGCAAAAATAGTGCGATGCCTCTGTCATAGTTTCAGATTCCTGCCCGTGAGCCAACATTGAGCGAGGACCATGGCTCCGACAGAGTTTGGAGCTCGAGGTGACAAGTCAGCGTCGGCGATGAGAGTAAAACCTTGCTTGCCAGGAAGGCTCAAAAGCTCTCTGATGGCGGATGGGGGCACTCTGGAGCCTCGGCGCCAATGCGATGCCGACGACCAAGTCAGCACTTGCTGCTGAGAGCGGCAGCTGACGAAACTGGGCCTGGCGATGTGAAACAAGCCACCGGGGAATCGGAAGGGGTCGTGATGGCAGCAAGCTGTCAAGTTTGGGAATCGGGCTAGGTTTGAGGTTGTAGCTGAAAGCACGGTGCTACGGCAGCCAGGCCAAATCAACAGTTGGCACCGGTGCAAACCCAGAGATGCGATGCGATGTCGCAGGTGAATTCCGCAGTCAAGCTATCGATGCCTTGTTCTGGTGCTCCATGGCCTGCGAGGGGAGGTGGATTTGAAGGGCGCCGATACACTGCCACGAGGCGGCCATCATGTCGCAGAGGCATGGCCATGTGTGCTTTGGGAGACCAATCCGACCTTGATAGCGGCCTTCGGCGATGTTGTGGCAGCCAGGTCGGGAGCATTACACATCGTGCCTGGAATGTCTTCAATGAACGCGCTTACCATGCCACCAGGAACACGATGCTGGGTCTCACCCTGTGGGGTCGAGAAGCCGATGCTGGTGTGGAGCTGAATGGAGGACACGCCTCGTTCTGGAAGATGTGACGGTGCCTGGCTATCGTCCTGCCTCCCTGCAACGTCGTGTTTCATGTACCTGAATGCTAACCCTTCGCTTGTTTGGGATGCTGCACAACCTTGGGTTTGAGCGCGCTCACGCCTCCGAGGCTGACCAACTAAGGTAGCATGCACAGCTGCTAGCCTCGTGTGCCTCGTGTTGCTCGGCCGATCTACTCAAGCGATGTGACCTTGAAAGAGGAGGGCGGCATTCTTTCGAAGTCAGACCGCCAAGTTGGACAAGACCTGTCTAGACCGACCACATGGCTCTCTCGGGAGGTCGGCATTCCGAGTGTTTCTCCGATGGAGTGGCGCATGGTGACTTATTTCTCCAACTTTCTTTGCCACGATAGCCCGAAACCAGACCGAATACCGTCGGACCGTGTAATGCATGTCTGTGTTAGAAGCAGACAGCCAACCTGGCAAGGAGAAGAAACCCATTTGGGGTTTCCAGCGAGTTGCTGCTCGGTTCGTCAGTGGCAGGGCGACCTCGCTGCAGAGAGACGGCTCGCGAAAAGGTTGCTCAGTATGTCATGGCTGAATAATGCGGTTGACGCAGGTGGAACCTTTGTGACCTCGTTTCAGATCGGCGGCTCCCGATATGACAACCAAAGCAACCCATCAGTGCTCCAGGTATGTGGCTCGCCGATCTTGATGGGCTGCGAGGCATCATGGCGAATGTCGATGGAGATCTGAGCTCGCTGCATGGTGTCATCCGTTGACTCGACATCAGGTTTCAGAGTTGAGGTTAGCACCGACGCCAGTCCTCACACGAGAATCTTTGAGCGCCGCTACTCGGTCTGATGGGTCGAACTTGCATCATTGGAGATGGGCAAACTTTGCAAGATCGAGGGAATGAGAACTGGGGTTTGCTGCTATTCACGGACATTGAGGACCCAGTCACATCAGAGGTCGTGGCCATCAGACTGGTCGGCACAGGATATCCCCTCACATGGGGCATTCCCGTGGCCATTGCCGCCATGTGAAAAGCCTTCGAATCTCACGAGCCGCTCAGTCGTATGCGGGGAGTTGTGGAAAATGGTCAACTGCAAAGGCCGCTGCAGCTGCGGCCGAGATCTCCCTGACTGCCGCGTTCGAACAAACCAAACAGCTCAGCTCTTGCCTGGGGGGCTGGACGATGGTGCTGGCGCTGGGAAGCACACAATGCGCGACGTGAGCTTCGGACGGGAAGGATGGATGGC